TAGCACCATCTCTTCCCCTCCTCACCTGCAGCCTCGATACCTTCCACTGTGGTCCCAGGATACGCCAGGTCAACTGTGATCAACTCTGAAACAGAGAAAGGGGGGGGGGGGGGGGGGGGGGGGGGGGAGGAGGCATCCTTTCCTATTCTCAGTGGTCTCAGTTGCAGAGACTACTTTAGTAAGCTCTCCCTGTCATACCTTAAAACATAAGTTAAGACCCATAAGTAATTCTTAAATCTCATTTTATTAGATTGTTTTTATCTCCCTGCTCACCAATCTTAAGTAAAATGGTAACAAAAATCTCAGAGAATGATTTCTTCCACTTATTCTCTTAGGAGGGAAGGAGTGTTATATAAGCAAAGGCATGCTAACAGGAAGGGAAAAAATGGAGTTTATGAATAATAATCATAATTTGAAAAGCATCAAAACAATGCACCATGCAGTCTACAAAATTTTTCTACGTTATGTTATCTCTGCTGCTGAATTTGGTCAAGAGATTATACTCATCATAAAATGAATGTTATTAATCATTTTTAAGTCTCTTCTAAAAGTGGCTAAATTTATACTGCTGATTCCTTTTGAAACATGTGAGCTACAACTTCTTGGCTTTTATGAGCTATTCAGAAGAGATTTAGTCATCACGTTGTGTCACAATGGGAGTGACTCACAGAGCAAGGAGAGAACCTAAGGACTCCGCACACATGTAGTACTCAGAGCTTGACGGAAACCCAGGCACCTCGACCTCAAGAGGACCAGCCTGGCCAGGGTGGCACAACTCTTCCTTCCCCGTGCACAGCAGGAAGGCTGCCATCAGCTGAGCAAGTCCACCAACAGTTTCTGTGTCACGTTTCATCTTTAATAAGGTAACTAGATGACAGTTTTTGTCATTTATTCTTTTATTTATCAAGTCAGTCTAAACTTTCTTTGATTTTTCTCACTTTTGCGGAATGAATCAATGGTCTTTCAAGCTGTGGTCAACTGTTGCTACTTCTTTTAATGTAACATACTAGAACACAGTGAAGGGAGCTGGGTCCATCTCAGCATAGAAATGATATAGTGTGACCTGGGATCTTGCCTTAAACTCCTCCAGGACTCTCTTTGAATGTCCTTTAGCATCCTAGCATCCAATTTCAATTTATATTTTGTTATTTTCTCGGTGCCTACTTGACACCCTCTATGAATCTTATGATTAATTGGAAACTGGAGGGGTAAAGTTTCCAAAAAGCACAGGAATCTTAGATGAGTTTCTTACTGAAGCAACAGATTCACTGTCAACTGCAGGTCTGATCTGTTAATCTGTTTGCTTTATCAATGTTATCAGATGTCAGTTTACGTGAACACATACACATATACACTAACTGAGGGAGAAAAATGCCTTGTACGTTATGAAAAAGCAGGGAAATTCCCAACAGTTCATATTTGATCCCTGGATCCTGGGGTGGCAGCAATAAGTCTCTTTCAGGTATTTACTCCCCATTTTATGACCCAGTGGTTTGGTTTTTTAAATAGTGATACGGCTCTCTCTCAATGGCTTGATGTTTAACAGGTGTACTTCAATAAATACATTTTCAAATCAACAATCAAGTTAGAGTTGTACAAATGGCTCTGAAATGTCCTGCTACACTATTAGACCAAGGGCAGATTGTGCTTCTGTGCTATTGATCTTAGTAACCCTTGGCATATATTAACTGCTCCAAAAATGTCCTTGGCTACATGCTGCATAAAATGAAAGTTAAATGTTACACCACCTTTGTATTCTATTTTTAATATTCAGAGAGGTGCTCAGATTTTAGAACAAATCTCAATGTTTAAGTACACACAAAAAAATCATTAGCTCATACATTTAAAGGGTAGAAAATAGGAATCAGTATTAAAACTCTTATACCGAATGTCACTATCTTAACAGACAGTGTTTAAAAAGTCAGACCTTTTCTTCTGCTTAAAGATCATTGTGGCTGAAATACATTGAAGTTTCGAACACGCTTTTGGAATCTATACATATGTTCTATGTTCTAAGCTTTCCTTAAAGCCTGTGACTATGAATGATAATTATACACAACATATAATCTTTCTCAGCTAGTAATTTTTATACAATGACCATAAATAAAGTAATCATAGCTTTAACAATAATTCTTAACCTGTTAATACTGTCAGGAAACATTGTCAAAATAGTAAACATAGGAGGGACTCGGGATAACTAATGAATAGTTACGGACATGATGGTGAATTATAATTTAAAAGTTTTGAAGGAAGGCAAAAGAAAAACAGAGGTGCTTCTATCCTTAGAACTAAAAATGCAAAATGCAAATCCAGCAGATCTTCCCTATGTGAAGGAGTTGGTCCACCTCTGCTGGGAGGGAGGGCAGCTGTGTCCTGATGAGGCTGTCGGAGTGAATCTGTAGCGGAAGCACACATGAACTCCATGCCTCATTGTCCCACTACTCAAAGCACAGTTTGGCAGCCGAGGATTACCTCCCACCTTCAGGGAAGCAGGAATCAAGGGAAATGTAACTAACCCCAGGAGGAGCTTCTTCATCCATTGAGTAAGGGACTTACCCTCCCATGATGATAAATACTAACTCAACTATATCATCAGCTGGATAATAATTATTATAATTATTATTGCAGTCAGACTCTCAAAAAAGCATTTGTTGCTTATTGCAAGCACATTTAACATAGGGTCCCTTGGCTCCATTAAAAAAATTTCTTTTTCAGATTTTTGGGTGGCCCGTTTGAACAGTTTTCACAGAAACATAATTCTTTAGTTTGTGTCAATAGATTCCAGTGTCCATTTTTCTTAAAGTGCACCAGAAATCTCTAAAAGGCCGCTTGGGTTTTGTTTTGTTTTGTTTTGTTTTTTTAAACAAAACAAACAAACAAACAAACAGTTCTTTTTTACCTCAATGAAAAGGAAAAAGTGAAACGGAATGTTGTGTAAGTTAACTAGGTTTACAATATTTAAATGTATAGGTGGCACACATGTTCAGTGGCTTTTAGTATTAAGAAAGCCTGCAAGAGAACTCCAAAAAGAGAATACTTCCATTGCTCAATGCTTTCTATTTGATGTATTTTGGTAAACATCATAGTTGTTGATTCAGCTTGGGCCACAATTGCAACACACTGGAAGTAAATAAAGATTCTACAAACTCCTGTCAGTGCGGTTGACTAGCTTTGGTATTGCTTTCTAAAAGGAAACACTTCATGAAGTTATGTGGAAATAAAATCAACTGGTCTGGGAGGAACTATCTAGAAGAACTCCACATTGCTTATAAAAAGTATACCTCACAATAATATTGAGATATTTTCTGTTCTTTTTTTTTTTTTTAAATGTGTCACTTATTTTTAAGGAACAGAGGAAGGTAAATAAGAGAAGTGAAAAAAAAATCCTATTTAAACTTTTTTACTATGAAAAGAAATCCAGGAAGAGAAAGTTAAGAAAAGCAGAAGTGATCAAGGAGAGCACTTGTAATCTTTTCCTTTGGCTGCTGACAGGCAGTTACTATAAATCATTGTGCATGGTGTATGAAAGACAGAATTAGTTCTCCTTTCTTGTTTCTTTTGAATCTTTGTGGTATGGTAAAAAAAACTTTTGATAAAGTGTTCTTGTGCCCGCTGTCAACTCATAATGTGTTCATCTCTTTGCAGTTCTTTCTTTCACACAGTTTAAAAGTTCAGAGAATGAAGTTGTAGTTCTGGTCACTCTCTGGCAAGTGACCACAGTTATGACTTGTACTCTACACAAGAAATATCTTGACAATTACATGAGATAAATATTACATAAACACTTCCCAAAATTTTTTAATGTTATCGAAATTGGAAATGTGAATATTATAGCATAATTGCTATCAATTATCATTTTGCCCCAGCAATTCAGAGATCTCAAAGATGAATCCATTTATCACTAGAACTCTGGAGCTAGAGTAGACACTTCCTTCGTTCCTTCGTCTTTTCCTTCTTTGCTGTACAACATTTAGTAAGCATCAACATAAAGGCAAGTATCATGCAAGGAACTGGTGATGTAGAGAAGTGTATGCATAGCCCAGAGTTGAGTGGGAATGCAGACAGAAGTGGTAGAATTCAGTGGTCTGGGTGTCAGTCCCAGAATCACCACTACGTTTGTAGATGGGGCCAATTAAACAGACCTTCTGAATGTGTTTCCTCCTGTCTATAATGAGGATAATTTTATGGTAAGCTGTAAATAAGATAAATATTTATAGATCCTAGAAGAGGGCCTAGAAAATGTTAAGTACTCTATGAACCATAGTAGTTATTACCATTCCTCCCTGTCTTGGTCAACCAGGAACTTGAGGACCATAGATTTACTAGGAGGATATTTGAATTCTCTAGAGTCAGTTGGCCACCCATCAAAGGGTATCCCCAGAGGAGCTTGCAGTGGCTCAAGCTCAAAAGGCACAGCTGGAATTCAGACCTCACAAATACTATGAGGGCTAATTTGGTAATTTCTAAACTCACAAATGGTATCATACATAAGTTTGGCTTAGCTTATTGCCTCTGTATTAGTCTGTTTTCACGCTGCTATAAAGAGCTGCCTGAGACTGGGTAATTTATAAAGGAAAGAGGTTTAACCAACTCACAGTTTCACATGACTGGGGAGGCCTCAGGAAACTTACAAATTATAACAGAAAGTGAAGGAGAAGCAAGTACCTTCTTCATGGTAGCAGAAGAGAGGAAGATCGCAGGGGTAACCACCACTTTTAAATCATCAGATCTCATAAGAACTGCTTCACTATCAGGAGAACAGCATGGGTAAACCTTGAGGGAGTGACCAAACGGGAGATGACTGAATGGTGAGACTTGGGTGAGGACACAGAGCCAAACCATATCAGCCTCCTATCCTCTTGATGACAAAAAGACATTTTAAAATATTTATATAGAGAGAAATTAATGCTTACAGCAGAAGGATATGAGTCATTTTTATAAGGCAACACAACTTTTCCATTAAGACCATTAAAAAAAGAAACTCATCAACGTGACACTACAAAGGAACCAATGACTAAGTTTCCAAAAAAGTAGTTCTAGTGCTATGATGTTCTGGAGTCCCAGAAACATCTAGAAAGTGCTAGAACAGTGGTTCTCAGCTGGGGGATATTTTTTCCCTCAGAAGACATTTGGCATTATCTGGAGACATTTTTGGTTGTCACAACTGGGAGGGGGGGTGCTACTGCTGACTAGAGAGTAAAGGTCAGGATGCCACTAAATCCCATGCTACAATGCACAGGACTGACCCCACAACAAATAATTACCTGGCCCAACATATCAAAAGTATTGAGGTGGAGGAACCCATGCCTAAATATGAGCAATACACAGAGTAGACTGCCCCATAAAGTGAAATCGATTCATTCTGCCCTGAAGATAATAAGGCAGACATTAGGTCACTTTACCTCACTCAGTACTCTCCAATGTAGATGTTGTACTTCTATTTTACAGGTAGGAAAATTGAGGCTAACAAAAAGTTAATTTGTCCAAGGGCCCTCTGATGATAGTAACACTGGGATGGCATCTCTGCCTGCTTGCTTCTGAGGTTTGGAATCCTAACTACTGCTCTACTGCCTCCAGCCAAGAGATTTACACCCTATTAAACAATTTGTTGTGAGATAAATTGAAAGACACAGCAGATAAGCAAACAACTTAAGCAACTAAAGGTCAGTTCCTGGAGTTTCTGAATTGTTGGGACCAAGGGGCCATGCAGAGGCAATCACAGCTGGCATACTGTGGTTGAGGTAGCCCTATTAATTGCTGTTACTCATTTATTTCTCAGTGGTCAATGAACCAACTGGCCATCAATCAGCTTTGTGTATAGGTCATGTTCTCACGGCTCTGACCCAGGTTGCTGCTCAGAGGT